TGTCCTCTGACTAGAGCATCGGGCGCCGGAACCGGAAGTCCAAATTTCAGTTTTTAACAAAGAGTATGTATCTCTCCTTTTTTCAGAAGTTTTTATTCAGAGTATTTATTACGGTGTGCAAAATATAGCAGTTTCTGCTGTGCTCTGGAACAAATGGATGTGTCCAGACATTCCCCAAATTTTCCCCTTTAGGGCTTGTTCACACCAAATGCAGAATAGATCTTCATGAGTTTCTGCACATGCAGTGCAGTGTGGTTTGACTCGTTTTTGATGCGTTCTGGGCCGTTTTTTGTAAAAAAAAAAAAAAAGCAAGAAAAAATAGGTCTTGCTGCAGTTTTTTTTTTTACATGCTTTAGAACTGAATGCTGCGGTGTGAACTAGAGCCCAAAATACCATTGGAATACATTGGATGCAGTTTTGAACCGTTCTGTAACTGCTCTGCACCTGCTTCGTGCTTGGTGTGAACTAGCCCTTAACCTCCCTGGCGGTATTCCCGAGTGTAGCTCGGGGTTACTTTTCCATACCATAAGTGGTAACCCCGAGCTACACTGGGGAATGCCGCATAGCATTTACTTACCTTCTCCCTCGAGCCGCACTGTGTTCTCCGGCCAATGCCGGCATCTGTCTTCCGGGTTCCATCCCTTGCGAGCGTACGCGCCGCAGGGGGTGGAACTGGCGGGATATTAAAAAAAACAAAAACAACAAAAAATTTGAGAAAAAAAATAGAACAAAAAATCATACCGCCAGAGAGGTTAAAGGCTTAGTTCACTATTTTTTTTTGTTCTTCAAAAATTTGTTAACATCTTATAATGCTTAATTTTTTTTTTTTTAATGCTGCTCCTTTTGGGCTTCCCCTCTCTGTCCCAACTACATGGAACTACATGGCAGGATAGACCAACCGTTGCATGGGTGGTCCCAGCTATGGAAGGAAACCATAGATTTAACAACACTGCATCTGTCCATCTTTTAAAAATGTTTTTACATTCATCCCCTTCCCTTTTTGGGCATAGTTTTCATATCTTGAGAATGAGATTCCAGTCCTGAGATTTCACAAATTTAAGCCACCCTGTGCAGCAAAACGGCCCCAAAATGTAACTGACCCTGCCTTGTGTTTCACAACAGTTCACATGTTTGGGCCCATGGTCAATGTAAAAGACAGATGGTGTGATCAAGCAAAACAAATGACAAACGCACTCAACAATTTGTCATCAGTTATACAGCAAGGTGCACACGAAATGGGCTTTGAACAGTAAAACAGTAGAAAGGTATCATGGCACACTCACAAACCAGCATGTAAAACAACTTGTCTCACCACTAAGGTTAATAACAGAGGTTTGGATACACGTCTTCTGCAGAAAATGTGACAGCCGCGCCAAGGCACCTCTTATAGTGCGGTCCTAACTCTAAACTATGAGAGTCTCCATCTTGGAGCACATGGGGGCAGAAGATTTCAAATTGGGTGCAGGTTTGTCAGGAGGTGTGATCAGACACTGCTGTATCTTGAAATTGCAGTTCAGCTTGTATCTCTTTTGGAAGTTTTCCTTAGCTCTTTGTACCTTCCTTCTGTTAAAATCTTGAGACCATTTTTTTTTTTTTTGCAGCCTTGGGGCTTAAATTTCTTTAATATTTGCAATTGTAGTCACAGTAGGGCTGCAGCTAACTACTATTATTTTCATAATCGATTATTGAAAATGTATTAACTTCGATTAATTGAATACAAGAAAAAATTAATACCTTAATTTATTTGAAATAAAATACACAAATGCAGCGTTACAGACATAAAGTGTACTTCAGAATAAAACGTGGGCTTAACTGGATGGACTGAGCGCAATCACTCATCTGGGAGGGTGCAGAACGAATTGATATACTGTTTTGAGTTGACCTGCCATTTATTTCAGCGAGATGAATAAACCCTGTAGGGAGCTACCCTGATCCCTGTCGGATGTTCCTGTAGTGAGGGAGAAAGACTCTGCATGCTCTTTCCTGCCTGGTGACTCCTGAATCATCCCAGTGAGAAACTGACTGATACAGCATAGAAGGCAAATCGTGCCCCCGACGAGCGTTTGGATCCTGGGAGCGGCATATCCGTGTGACACCTCCAACCCTCTGCTCCAATGTGAATCCTGAGCGGACTGCACGGCTGCTACCAGTGATCAAGACCTGCCATCCTCTGCACACAGGTCTGCTGTGGGGTTACGGGGAAGTCGGTTGGAGGAGGTGGGGTTGCCCTCTTCTCACTGACCACTCAAGAGCTGCTATTCAGATCGTCAGACGGGGGAGCAGCCGTTGGCCAACGCATTGCTCCATCTCAAATTTATCCTTCAAGCGGTACATTGGGCCCAAAAGTTGGCTAGCCAAAGCAAAAACCACTGGCCAGTGGGTTAGAGACACTGGTCTGTTTGAACTGAGACTTTTTCATAGTTGCTACCACATGACAGGTTACCCTAGCCAGACCAGTATTAAATGCAAATAGACAGCTGCAGCTCAGGTATAGCTGAATGCCTAATGTGATTCCATTGTATACACAGTTATTTGCTATTGTTTCTCCTGTTCATATCTCTATTACATTAGTATATAACTTGTCTATCAAAGCTTTTATAAAACCCTACAAGGTGTGCTGTCGATCCATCACAAGCGGTTCATCAGAGAGATGAGACAGAAGAACCTGGGGTAATCTGGCTGCTCCTTTTTTGGGGGTGAGCACTACACATATAATTATTACAATATAATAATAGAGGCATCCAGATCACCTTTATAAGATTAGATCTACTAGACATAGATGAAGGAAGTTTACACCACTGTGTACCAAATTTAGAAATAAGTGGATTCACATTTAGTGAAATATTTACCTTTTTGGTTTTAGGAAAAATTATATTGCCTAAATATTTAGAAGAATTGACAATCTCAATGGAAGTGGCAGAGTTTGCTAAAGGGAATTTCAAATGACCATATAGTACAGAACAATACAGACTTGCTCCAATTAAGAACTCCAAGAATTGACCAAGGGTGAAAATGATAGTCATAGCGCTTTCTAAGAAATTACTAGTTTCTCCCAAAAACAATAGGGCGTTATCTGTGTACAGCACTATTTTCCCATATTTTCTTTTAGGTTACCACATGAGAGAGACACACCTCCAAAATGGACAGTAAACACATCATCAAAAACAGTATTTGCTTGCTCCTCCCAAACGAAAATGTCTGTTATGGGAGTTGAGGCGAAGGAGGCAGGCTGTCGCGTACCTTGGTGGAGTCTGAGTTGACAAAGGCGGCCTCCCTTGCAGCTCCAGTCTCAGAGCCCAGGGTTGGCAGAACATGTGCATGGGGACAAGGAGGCACGAGTACCGGATGATGTCACTGTGGCAAGGAAGGTCAGTCTCTGCATGTTCTGGGTAGGAATCTGGCACAGAAACAGTGCTGATCATGCAGGATTGCGGAAGAGCTGTAGTCGCACTAGCCGGGTCGTCAACAGGCGGGCAAAACAGTACCAAGTAACAGGAGCAAAGTCAGGAACAAGCCGGGGTCAGTAACATGTACACTATATTGGCAAAAGTATTGGGACACCCCTCCAAATCATTGGATTCAGGTGTTCCATTCACCTCCATGGCCACAGGTGCAAAAAGAAAACGTTTGAATTCAAGCGTGGTACTGTGATAGGTTGCCACCTGTGCAAGAAGTCCATCTGTGAAATTTCCTTGCTACTAAATATTCCACGGTCAACTATTATTGGTATTATAACAAAGTGGAAGCAACTGGGAACAACAGCAACTCCGCCACGAAAAATGACAGAGCGTGGTCAGCGCATGCTGAAGCGTACAGTGAGCAGAAGTTGCCAAATGTCTGCAGAGTCAATAGCTACAGACCTCCAAACTTTGTGTGGCCTTCAGATTGGCACAACGGTGCGTAGAGAGCTTCATGGAATGGGTTTCCATGGCCGAGCAGCTGCATCCAAGCCTTACATCACCAAGTGCAATGCAAAGCGTTGGATGCAGTGGTGTAAAGCATGCCACCACTGGACTCTAGAGAAGTGGAGACGTGTTCTCTGGAGTGACAAATGACGCTCCTGTCTGGCAACCTGATAGACGTGTCTGGGTTTGGCGGTTGCCAGGAGAGCGGTACTTGCCTGTCATTGTGCCAAGTGTAAAGTTTGGGGGAGGGGCGATTTATGGTGTGGGGTTGTTTTTCAGAGGTTGGGCTTGGCTCCTTCGTTCCAGTGAAGGGAACTCTTAAGGCATCAGCATACCAAGACATTTTGGACAATTTCATGCTCCTAACTTTGTGGGTACAGTTTGGGGATGGCCCCTTCCTGTTCCAACATGACTGCACACCAGTGCACAAAGCAAGGTCCATAAAGACATGGATGAGCGAGTTTGGGGTGGAGGAACTTGACTGGCCTGCACAGAGTCCTGACCACAACCCAACAGAACATCTTTGGGATGAATTGGAGTGGAGACTGCGAGCCAGGCCTTCTCGTCCAACATCAGTACCTGACCTCACAAATGTGCTTCTGGAAGAATGGTCAAACATTCCCCATTCCCATTCCCTAAACCTTGTGGACAGCCTTCGCAGAAGAGTTGAAGCTGTTATAGCGGCAAAGGCTGGGCCAACTCAATATTGAACCCTACGGACGAAGACTGGGATGCCATTAAAGTTAATGTGCGTGTAAAGGCAGGCGTCCCAATACTTTTGGCAATATAGTGTATGTAAAGTACCGAGCAGCAGGCAGAAGCGGTAGTTAGGAACAAGCCTGGGTCACAGGAACACCGTAGCGGAAACAGTCAAAACAAGTCAGGTCGATAACGGATGATCAATCAGATGCAGGATCTTGGGAACAGAGGAAAGCTGTCAATCACTCAGCGCTGGAGGCTTGGCTGTCACAGCCTTAATTAGCCTGTTTGGCGCCATAACTTGTAATGAGCACGTGCATGCCAGTGAGCATGTGCACAGACCTGCGCAGAGGCACAAGGCTGTGCACAATTCTGTGAGCCAGACTATGCTTACACACGTGCATGCGCCTGCATTAAAGGAGAACTCTGGGGTCAGGGCTTTTCCCCATAGTTCTCCTTAGGGTAACGGGAGAACTATGAGCCGCCGGAGCGGATCCCGATGTCGAGATCTGCCCAGCTGCGCGAGTGACAGCTGGCTCTGCCTATCTAGAGGCAGAACCAGCTGTACCCTCCCCCGTCCGTTCCGCCAGTTAGCACTAGCGGGGAGGGGGGGGATGCAGCCCCTCCCCTGTCACGGCAGAGAGCCGTGACAGGATCGAGAGGTGAGCGAACGCCGTATATGTTCGCTCACCTCCCGATCTACTGAGCCGACCATTGACAGTCTCATTGTCAGAGGTATGCTAGAACTATGAGGTGAGTGAAAAGCACTTGCCTCATAGTTCTCCTTTAAGCCATCGGCCGCACAGTGAAACTCTGGCTTCTTGACTCTTGCAGGTTCTGTTCCCCCCTCCATCTTCGTTCCACCTCACCTCTCTGGTTGTTGGTTTCTGTGGTATATGAGCAGTGCCTTCATCATTCTTTAAGCCTCCTTGACCACCTTCCTAAATGGTGAGGCAGCTGCCCGGTTTTCCCTCAGTTGTGGCACCTCACCTGACAAAGGACGCCTGGAGTCACTTCCAGTAGTGGAGGAGTTCGGAGACAGGTGTAGGGCATTGAGTTACAGCCCTTGCAACGCAGGGAGTATTCACTTCGGTTCAGATGACTGGCATGGGGGACTTGGACGCCAAGATCATTAGCATTTTAAGGGCCCATTCACACTACATCCAGATATTCTCCAGTCCAGATTGTTTCCAGACCCAACATGCATCCTAATGTATCCCTATGCTATTTCTGGCCTCTGTTGACATCAGCGCAGTCCGTTCCAGACCAGAAAAATACTGCATGTCTCATTTTGTTTGGTCTGGAATGCACTGGAACTGCGAGCAGGTTCACACCATTTTCCGGAAAATGGTGTGAACCTGCCCTCAGTGCTAATTTACTCTGCTGCATCATGGATCTAGGTGAACCAAAGTTGTTGATTGCAGGCACCACTGGCACCATCTCTATTCAGGTAAATGGAGGCTTCGTTAATGTCAGCTTCTAACCTTCTGTGGTGTGTTTGTGTTTTTTCTGTCATATGTTTTCCTGATGGACTTGTGGACCTTTAACATGACCCCTTGTAGTCCTCTTTAGGAACGATTGCTGTTTTAATTGTTGGCATCAAGATGTTTTACATTGCTGCAGGTTACGGTCCAATTGAGCTTGTTGCTTTTTTTTTTCCAGACCCAGTCTCCGGATTAGTCTATACCACCTCCAGTATCGAGAAGTTGGTGTGTGTAGAAGCCTCTTCTACTTGTAATGATTTGCTATCTAGAGATAAGGATCATTCAACTTTTGTGCTGCCTGCTTCCACTCCTACTTTAGAAAGGAATGAGAAAACGGAAGCGTGATTTGTCAAATTTTTCTTTGAGCATTGTGATGGTAATTTCTCGGCTGAAGGGGTGATACAGGACAAGGATACTAAATCTTCACGATTTAAATTTTCCTTTAGAAGATGTGGGCAGCCTTTTAAATCGGAACTCCGTGATTGTTAATTTGCACCTTTTTTTTTCTTTATACACATTTATTATTTTTTTTAGATTAAATCTTTCTAGTTTATGGGATTGAAAGTGCATCTCGGGCTGGTCAATCAATACCAGCATGTGTGAATCAGCATGATAGACCAGGAGTCTACTGGCTTGTCAGTCAAGCTTTTAGGCCATGGGACAGAACAGGAGGCTCCTGGCTTGTCAGTCCAACTATGCTGTTTGAGTGGGTGGCACAGACCAGTTGTAGGAGATTCCCACTAGAGCAAATGTCAGCATAATTTCTGCCTGTGCAGTGTACTGTTGCGCTCCCATTCCTTTGGAGTGAACTATGAGCGCTGGCTGTGACTCATTCAATTGCAGCCAGTGACATGGAATAGACAGCCAGTGACGTTGAATTTGGAGCCTTTTTTTAACTTGTGCGGTAGGCCCAGGGCTGCTAGGGTCGCCTGCGCAAAAGTCCTTCAAACCTGTTGTACTATTTGTTTTCTCTCCACGTGCTAGCCGACTGTTCCTCTGCTCCCTACCTGCTGCTGTTAAAAGGAATTTACTGCATAGTTCCATAGTTGGTCAGGTTGAAAAAAGACACAAGTCCATCGAGTCCAACCTATAGAAGGTAGTGTTCCTTAGATGTACTGGGCCCCTCTGCCTCCAATGACCGCTCATAGAAGGCACACCCTTCCTTCTCTACAGCAGTGGTCTGTGAGTACTCCTAAAGGGAATATGCCTCACCACACATGGAGGACCGTAGGCACACGGGGAATAGGTCTAGGGACCTGGCCGAAGCACGCATGGCAAAGAGGGTGCAAAATCTCCTCTAAAAGGGTCCTAATTTGATTAATTTTATTTGAGTCCCCTGAATCAGATGAGGCATCAAACTTGTCCTCCAAAGAAAGGAAGGTGCAGTCAGATACTTGGAGTACAGGAGGAGGTTCGCTGTACTAATATTACCCCCAAACTTAGGTATACCTTCTGTCCTTACTGACACAGTTTGCACATGCCTTGCCTTAGAGCAACATGCATCCACATGGCCAAAGGTCACCAGCCTAGATTAAAATGCATCGGTCTATGAAAACCTTTGCTGTATACTCGCTCTGACAGCCAGTCTTGTACATTGACTGGCCTAACCCTGGAAAAAAAAATGGGGTCAGCAATACCCTATTGAGGAAGAGTTCTTAAAGAAATGGCCGATCCTACGGTTGACCCAGCCATTTCCTGTCTTAACAAAACCTTAATGGTCCTCTGTTAAATATGTCCCTGTATTCAGGGACATGGTATACAAAAGGTTAGTGTCTCTCTTGTAGGCTTTGTTCTCCTTAGCGGGCTCCGCTATGCAACCGTGTCAGAGTCCCTGGCAGTCTTGTCCAAGGACGTGGCCAGGAACTCTGGAGTCATTCTGATGGATCCCTCTGTCCAACAACTGGAGCTTTTGCCTGTGGCTTTACATTACTGTTTTGATGGATTAACGGATACACTTTACCAAATATCCAGGATGAATCTCCTTTTGGTACATATGCTAAGAATTGTGTTGCTCAAATGTTGGTTTATAGAACCTCCCTGAAAGAAGTGCCCTATGAGGATACCCTTTGAAGGGAACACCTCTTTCATGATGGTGTGGATACCTACATCAAGAAGGTCACGGGGGGGAGGGGGTAGTACACTCGCCACTGAAAGAGAGCAAAAGCTCTTGCAGACAAGCCTTTGGGCCCCTAAAACGAAGAAGAGCTTTTTGTTTCCTTTAGGTCTAAAGGTCCAAGCGCCAAACTCTGTTTTCTCCTGGATCTCCAAACCTGCCAGAACATTTTAGATGCTTGGATGCCTACTTGCACATTCCCATTTTCTCACCACATCGACATTACCTGTGTTTTGCTGTGGGTATGCAAAATTACCAATTTGTTTTTCTTCCCTTTTTTGGACGTTCCACCAAACCTTGGGCCTTCACTAAGGTGCTAGCCCCTGTGCTAGTTCTGCTGCGCTTTCAGGGCATTCCCATTGGGAAATACCAGAAAGATCCCCTACTAAAGGAACAGTTGCTCCAGAATTTGATCCAGCTCATTGCTTGGAGTGTATTGGCCTGATCTTGGATATGGCCCTATCCAAGGTTTTCCTTCCCCTGGACAAAGCCCCTGTCTGTCCACCCAACCATTTTGTTCTTACATGAAGGTTCTGGGACTGATGGTTTTCTCCTCTGTGTCAGTACCATATGCCTAATACCACTCCGTACTGTCACAACTCGACATTCAGCATGAGACAAGCGGACTCTGGAACGTCTATCCAGGAAAGCCAGCCTTTTCCTGATGTGGATTTCCATTCGACCCTGTGTCCCCAATGGCCTGGAAGGTGCTTACGTCAGATGCCAGTCTGTCTGGGAAGAAGTCCTAGATACCCTCTTCACGCAGGGGACTTGGTTATTAGAGGAAATTTGTCTTCCAGTCATTTTATCTTGGAGCTCAGTGTGATTTGGTTGTCCCCTCTACACTGGACCTCACTGCTCCGGGTCGAACAATGACAGTGCAGTGTCCACAGAAAGTCATGAAGCTTAAAGTAGTACTAAAGGCTACGTGTTTTCTACCTTAATGAATTCTCTGCATTAAGGTAATAAACGCCCAGCCCCAGAGAAAATGGTCTCCTTATCCAGTGATTTCAAATCGCCAGTCGCAGGTGGGTGACTCAGGGTATGGACCTCCTGGTGCCCAGGTTCAAAAGTAAACTGGACAGATTTTTATTTGCAGGACCAGGGATCTCTTGGCTTTGCAGTGGATGCTATAGAAACTCTGTGGCATTAGTTCAAAATGATCTATGCCTTTCCCCCTCCTAAAGCTTCTTCCTCTTCTGCTTCTCGGGACCAGCCTGGAGGGTGATTTCTAATTGCACTGATTTGTTATAATAAATGATGATATAGTTTTACACTATTTTATTCACGTGTGTGTATGTGTGTGTGTGTGTGTGTGTGTGTGTATATATATATATATA